TGCAAAGAGGAGGATCGGCAATGTGTGAAGCACCAGGCCCAGCCTCCTTGTGTTAGGTCCCACCCCTACTTTTAGGCACCACCCCTCAAAACTGGCACTTAGCGGCAGAGCTGGTAGGAAAAGGCTCTGGTTAAAAATTGCATGTTCCTTATTAGGTATAATGGAAAATTCTATTTAATGACTCCATCTCTCAAAACATCCTGCATTAAAAATGCATTTATTTTACATTTAAGTACATACAGTTGCAAGAAAAAGTGTGTGAATGTTTACATGGTGTGTTCAATAAAAACATGGCAACATTTCATTCTTTGTGTGTTATTAGTTTAAGCAGACTGTGATTGTCTATTGTTGTGACTTAGATGATGATCAGATCACATTTTATGACCAATTTGTGCAGAAATCCATATCATTCCAAAGGGTTCACATACTTTTTCTTGCAACTGTATATGTAGTTTCAATAAATGATTGTGAAATTTGGCAAGTCTTCTCTATGGAAACACTAACGTTACCTTTATCAGATGATTACAGCCATATTTGATAGCGGTGAGTTACAGGACACATTGTGTAATTATACTAGCTTTATTGCAGACTATATCAATATGACTAACCAGGGCTCGTGGGAATGGCGTTCCTGCACTTTTTCCACAGCAGGAACACTGTTCCTGTTAGTAGTCCTGACGGGCCTTTGCCTGTAGCTGAGACCAAGTTCTGCAGCCTTAAGGAAAGATGGCGGCTCTGGTTTCCCTGTCAGTGACATCATAATTCTGCATGCCCCGCGCTGCCCAGAAAGCTTCGCTGTTCACAATATAGCCGGGCTGTGAGCTGGCGATGGAGGAAGTTGGAAGTCTCATTCATGTTAGAGCTGCTGGGTTTCTCTGTACTCTTGGAGCCCAGAGCCTGGTGTCACCGGCGTCCCATGCCCGAGAGGCGGGGAGCTGGGGTGCCCAGCATGCGCTGAATGATCCGGCCCGAGAGCAGGTGGCGCCATGTCCTTTTTCCGCAGGCGACCATAGACACTGGGACTGGACTGCCAGTGCTCTGTCCAACACAGGGAGGGGACAGTCAGACAGGAGAGGGTGCAGGGCTGACGGGATCTGGCTACATGTCCAAGACAGGCCCGCGGTGACAGCTAAAAGTGAAGGAAGTGACAGCACAGGGAATGGTCATCATCCCAGGGAGAGAGATGGGAGAGGAGACCAAAGAGTGACAGCCTGGGAATAGGAGGGAGTGCATCAGTCTTTATCACTAGGGGAAGTGACAGCAATGACAATAGATACCGTGTGGAATGTGAAAGCTAGGCAGAAAGAGCTGGGAGGTTATAGTAGGTCAGGAATGGGATGTGACAGCGAGGGAAAGGACAAGGCCTGGACTTTGACAGCTAGATAGAGGGTTATAGAAACATAGAATGTGACGGCAGATAAGAACCATTCGGCCCATCTAGTCTGCCAATTTTCTAAATACTTTCATTAGTCCCTGGCCTTATCTTATAGTTAGGATAGCCTTATGCCTATCCCACGCATGCTTAAACTCCTTTACTATGTTAACCTCTAGCACTTCAGCTGGAAGGCTATTCCATGCATCCACTACCCTCTCAGTAAAGTAATACTTCCTGATATTATTTTTAAACCTTTGTGCCTCTAATTTAAGACTATGTCCTCTTATGGTAGTTTTTCTTCTTTTAAATATAGTCTCCTCCTTTACTGTGTTGATTCCCTTTATGTATTTAAATGTTTCTATCATATCTCATCTTTCCTCCAAGCTATACATGTTAAGATCCTTTAACCTTTCCTGGTAATTTTTATCCCGCAATCCATGAACCAGTTTAGTTTGCCCTTCTCTGAACCCTCTCTAAGGTATCAATATCCTTCTGAAGATACGGTCTCCAGTACTGTGGAGTGTTCTGTACAATGGCATGAGCACTTCCCTCTTTCTACTGCTAATACCTCTCCCTATACAACCAAGCATACTGCTAGCATTTCCTGCTGCTCTATTACATTGTCTAGTAAAACAAAAAATATATCAGATAAAAATCTAATAAAAAATCCAGGAATGGTTAACGTGATATACCTTTAAATCTCTTTAGAATAGTGGTAAGACTAGTAATAATTCATTACTTATTTAAAATTTCATAAAAAATATATCATAAAAAGTATATATATTTTTTGCAACAGATCATTCACAGTAATATCCAATAAATAACAACAAAAAAAAAAAAAGAAGAAAAGGAAATAAATTGTCCAATTGATAACAGTCTTGTAAATAGATACTATGTATCAAATAGTAGCAACAGTCTTTTAAATTGTAAACTGACTCAGTTCACTCCAGTTATAGAAGAACTGGTATATGGATACTGAGTGAGTTAGTATACTGTGTGTACAATATTATATTATAAATGGTCCTATTTTATAATAATTGTACCCTTGTAAAAAGTAATAAATAGATCTAAAATATCATTGATAGGTCATAGTTGATGGCCCTCAATAAAATATATGTTTAATTCACCATTAAAAACTGAAGTGCTGAAATGGTTAAAAATATTCAATTTTATTTGAAAAAATCAAATTAAAAGTTATATTAGGCACTCACACTTTGATATCAAACTTCTTGCCCGGTTGCAGTTTTGGAACCTGGTGTATACAGTTGTTGCAGTCCGATCGTCAAATAAATGGAAGAGCTGGCTCTCCGTGAGCCTCGTGTGTATCTTTGTTTTCTTCCTTCGTTCGGCAGCAATTTAAATTCCACTAGGTAATCTTGTTACTGATGTGTAACATGTAATAGTTGTAATCACTAGGACAGTAGGTGAGCAGGCTCTCTGTGAGCGGCGTGCGTGTCACAGTTCCTGCGTTCCAGGGCAATAAAGTTGATTTGCGATAGGTGCCAGAAAGCAATGAATGTCGTAAACAGAGTTGTCCTTACGCGTTTCGTGAGAAAAGTCTCACTTCATCAGAGGATACTGAATTGATGTTCCTTATGGGTTTAAATAGCCTAAGTAATTGATGTGGCTCTTTTAACCCTTCATTTGACTGTTCATATATCCTATAGCACTTGAGTCATAAAATAAACTGGTGATTATTAAAAATAATTACAAAAGTTATACAATGGACCTTAAATTATAAAAAGATACATAAATATACATTAAGATATCAATAATTATAAATTAAACTTTGGATATCATACATAAGTGGCATATATCATAATTATACATTTAAAATCAATTAAGATTATGCTTGAATATAATAGTGAATACTTGAAATAAAATACATTAAGAATATCTTAAAAATGTCATTGAATTCTAACATTAATTGGACAAGATTTATATATAAGTTTAGAGATAGATATATAAAAAATTTCAGTGATGACTGCTACATATTATTTGATATTATAGCATGCTTCCCATTTTCTATAAGACTACATATCAATTGGACAATTTATTTCCTTTTCTTCTTCTTTTTTTTTTTTTTTTGTTATTTATTGGATATTACTGTGAATGATCTGTTGCAAAAAATATATATACTTTTTATGATATATTTTTTATGAAATTTTAAATAAGTAATGAATTATTACTAGTCTTACCACTATTCTAAAGAGATTTAAAGGTATATCACGTTAACCATTCCTGGATTTTTTTATTAGATTTTTATCTGATATATTTTTTGTTTTACTTTGCAATATTAAGGATTTTTTAGTGGAATCCTTATTTTTCCAGTAGAGTGGTTTACTGCAGCCATACTAGGTTCTCTAACACACGGTTATTTTTCATATTAACCATAACGTTATATTTTGCATTCTTTTCCACTAATTAGAGAATCAAATATGGCATTACATAGAGATCTGGATTTTATTAGAAACAACAGAAGAGATGCATTTGACACTATGATAAATGAAGGTACAAAACATATGAGCACCAAGGTACAAAATACTAAAGAAGCTAACAAAAAAATTTTAGACACTAGATCACTAATTTATAAATTAGGAAAAATTATGGAGAAAGAGGTGTACTTATGGTGGGACATAGCAAGTTTGGAGTTCTATGTTTCTAATAATTTAGTTCCAAGAGGACTCCGCCTTTTTAAAACACTTGCCTATAAAAAAAGATGATGTTAATCTACTTACAAAATGGGACCAGCTTTTAGACAAAGGTTCTTTACTCCTCATGATATTTCTTATAAATGAAAAGAAAAAAGAACTAGAACAAATGGATAAAGAAATTAAAGAAATGAAAGAAAAGCTAATTCCAGAAGTTGAAGGAGGAGCCTATGTAGAACTATTAGATAAAATTGAGAGAAGAGTAAAAGATCTTGAAGTCCAAGTAAAAATCATTAAGCAGAAAAAACTCATGAGAGATAAGGAAGATTACAACTTAGGGAGGCAAAGAAATTGGAAAAAACACACATTTAATAGAAAAGACACAAATTATGACAACCATAAAATAGACACGAATTATGATAACCATACACGACCATACCATTACCAATATCCACCATATAGAAATAATAACCACAATAACTGGAAACCTAATTCCAGATATCAATCACGTCCAACTAAATACTATAACACACAACGTTCTGATTCATATTATCATAAGAAAATACCAAATCAAATACCCCATACAAGAGTTCCCCCAACACCGACATACTGTACACCTCTAAAACTACAACCAGCACATAGGACAAACCAACCTGGTTTATCTCCGAAAATAACACACCAATCTCAATGTCAGCATGTGGAGACCCCTTCCTCGCCTTCTTTTTTAGGCACTTTTTTAGGGAGGAAAAGATCACGAATTCACATGAAAGAAAAAGAAGAAACAGCAAGGACATTCAAATCACCAGTCCAGCGGAACACAAGGAGAGCAAGAGATCACGAGAGAAAGTGGAGAGAACAAACTCAATCACCATCCCCCAAAAGAAGGCAAAAGCAAAGAAAAGAACAAGACGAAGAAACATTGAGACAACAACATCACTACCACAAGTAGATGCAAACGAAATAAATGTATTCAATCTATCTCAAAAAGAACTAACCAAAGACGAAATGTCTCTACTTCAAAAAGGGTTAAAATTTGCTCCAAGTTCATCGAATTCACAATTTGATATTTTCATTGACCTTCATAAATTCATTAGAAAATTAACTATTAAAAAATTCTTTCTAGATAAAGAATTCCAAACTCCATCCAATTCCAGTTCTTACCAACATACCAATTTACACCCTCAATCTACATTCTATCCAGAACAAGTAAAAACAGATCATATTAGAGTATTTGAAAAAAATATGGAAAAGGATCTTAGAAAACTTAATCTGAGAAAGAATACTAAAGACAATCTAACTAAGAAAGAAAGAATAGCGTTAAAACATTTAATGGAAGATGACGAGATAATAATCAGAGGGGCAGATAAAGGGGGGGGACTAGTAATATTAAACACTAGTGATTATAAAATAGAAAATCAAAGACTACTTCAAGATTCCAACACTTATCAGATTTTAAAAAATAATCCAACAAAAGAGTTCCAAATAGAATTATTACAATTATTGGAAGAAGGTAGAGAGAGAGGTATCCTAACGAAGAAAGAATTTGATTATCTTTATTGTAAATTTCCAAGATTACCTATATTTTATCATGTACCTAAAATACATAAAACCCTTGAAAATCCACCAGGACGCCCAATCATTTCTGGTATAGGCTCTTTGACATCAAATCTATCCGAATATGTGGACCGATTTTTGCAAAAGATAGTTCCTAAACTACGATCCCATTTGAGAGATACTACTCATATTATCAATTTTTTATCTAAATTAGAATGGGACCAACAATATATTTTAGTTACAGCAGATGTCACATCCCTGTATACTGTTATCGAACATTTGCAGGGATGTGAGGCCATTCAATATGCACTCGCCACTTTCTCAGAACTCAAAAATGACCAGATTGAATTTATTGTAAAATGTGTGGCTTTTATTCTTAGTCACAATTTTTTCTGGGCTAATAATAATCATTACCTCCAAATTGAAGGGACTGCCATGGGAACCAGATTTGCGCCAAGTCATGCCAATCTGTTCATGGGAAAATGGGAAGATGAACACATTTGGTCAAACAATCCATTTGGCGCAAGTCTGGTCTCATGGCATAGGTACATAGACGACTGTATTTTTATTTGGAAAGGAGACATTATAACGTTGGAAAATTTTAAACAATATTTGAATTTTAATCCGTATAATCTAAAATTTACTTTTAATCAATCTATGGAAAGATTAGAATTTTTAGATCTTGAAATTTATATCAAAAATAAAGTAGAAACTAAAACCTTTAAGAAAACAGTAGCATGCAACAGTTTCATTCCTCATAATAGTTTCCATAAAGAAACCTGGTTAAACAACATCCCGTTCAGCCAGTTTAGAAGAATAAAAAGAAATTGTTCTGAACCAAACATCTGTGTTGAACAAACTGAAAGGATGAAATCACAATTTCAAGCAAAAGGATACTCACAAAATGTTTTAAATCAAGCTTTGACAAAAACAGCACTTTTAACTAGAAAACAAATACTTACAACTAAATTACAGACAAATCCATTGAATTCAGAAATTCCAACATTCATAACAAGATATAATGGTCAAACACATCAAATCAGAAAAATTCTTCAAAAAAATTGGGGTATTCTCAAAGGAGATCCCCAACTTGATCGAATATTAAGTGAAAAACCTAAAATAATTCATTCTAGGGCTCCAAATTTAGGCCTACTATTAGCTCCAACAACTCAACAAGAAAAACCGAATAATAATAACAAAAAAATCACCTCATTCGATATACTTAAAGGTTTTTGGAAGTGTAAAAAATGTCAAGCTTGCAGAAATAATCCGGATCAACCTACAAACATCATAGAATTTGTTCATCCTCAAACAAAAGAAATTTTTAAAATTAAAACATATTTAAACTGTACAACTACTGGCGTAATTTATCTAT